CCACACTCACAGTTTTTAAATGCACATTGAGACAAGAATAATGTAATATTTTCCACTAATTAGACTGCTGATGAAATTTATTTTTTTTACTTTTTAATGATAATGCTCGATGCTGTCCAGGTTGGGTGAAAATGGCACTTTCATCTAGGTTAAGAACCCTGTAAATTTGTACAGTTCTTCCATAAAGCAAACTGGACACATGAGTCTGAGTCAAAAATAATCCCCAGGTGCTTTGACCCAGTAATTCCCCTTCTAGGAATCTATCCTAATGGAATCTTCCTACAGACAGGAAAACCCATATTTACATGAGCCATAACTAAAAAATTAAGGTTAAAAAAGTTAACCCAGCAATGAGACTAATGATGCAAATTATGGAATGGTCACAGTATGGAAAATTATGCAAACATTAAAATTATGTGTTTTCTTTGTTCTTTTTTATTGAATTTATTGGGGTGACATTGGTAAATAAAATTATATAGGTTTCAAGTGTACCATTCTATAATACATCATCTGTATATTGTATTGTGTATTCACCACTCCAAGTCGTCTCCTTCCATCACCATTTATCCCCCCATACCCTCTTCAACTTCCCCCCATCCCCTTTTCCCTCTGGGAATCACTAAAAAATGATATTTACAAAGAGCTCTTAAACCACAAATACAAAATACAGAGTGGTATTAATTATGATTACAACTATATGAAGAAAAACACTCATGAAAATAAGACCAAAAGGAATGCACTCAAATACTAACATACAGTATCTATATTCAGTGGTAAGAATTTGTTTGCCTTTTGCCTTTTATCTATCTACCAAAAATTGTGCAACTTGATATAATTTTTTATAAAAAAAAATCCATTTGTAGCAAAACAAACATCATTTCCAGGACAATTCTAGTGAGACTCCCTATTCAGGATGGGTGATCAGAGTGAAGTTTGTCTTAGTGTATTGGCAAACCTGTCCCTTCTCCGTGGTGCCCACTATCTCATACTGCTCCCAGGCTGCTTAGGATCCTCCAGTGGGATCTGCCTATCCTTTCCTCACACCCTCACCGCTATTATTCCTTTGTTATTTCATTTACCCATAAAAAAAGAAACTGTATTAAATGCCCACTTTGTGCCAGGCACTGAGGGTTCAAATATGAGCAAGATAATACTATTCCTTTCATAAAGGATTTAACTGTACAGTGAAAGAGATACACAGGTTAGCAACAATTTACAAAACCTTGTGATAAGTCAATTGGCCAAGATATAAACAAAGTACAGTGAGAGCAGAAAGGAGGAAACATCTAAGTCTGCCTGGAGACAGGGAGGGGGAGTGTCCACAAAGAGAGAACAGCTTGTGCAAAGGCAAGGAGATGGGAGAGAGGTCGTTATATTCTTAAAGCTGTATAAAGGAGATGGAAGGAAATAAATCTGGATAGGCAGGGGTGAGATCATGAATGTCCCTGTTAGCCATGTTAAGGAGCTGGACTTTCTCCTGAAGACAATAGGGGATTACTGCAGAGTTTTAAGTGGGGAGTGACAGAGTCAGAGTTGCAGCTTGGAAAAATCACATAGAGTAGTGAAAAGCCTGGTTAGGGTAGAGAGCCTGAAGTAGGTAGATCAGGCAAGAGATGCTGACACAAGTCAGTGTCACTAAAGCTAGAGCAGAGGATGGATTTTATGGGTATAATTGGCAGGACTTAGGGGAATTTTTTTATTGTAATAGAAAGGAAAGTATTTAAGACAGCTCTGAAGTTTATGATTTGGGTGAGTGTGCATGCTAGTTCCTGACAGAGAAGATAATTTGGAATATGGGAAACTAAACCCTTTGACAAAAAAGGAAGTTGTCACACACTACTTTCTGAGATTCTCTTTCCCATGGACTTTTATAATAATATTCTATATATTATTTGGGTGGGACTTAAATTCCAAAGTCCAAGTAATGTTGCTTTGCAGAGAAAAAGTAGGTAGAAATTTATCATTCAATAATCTGTATAAACAAGCTCTATCAAAAAAAAAAAAAAAATCCACCCTACTTTTGTTTCCAAAATTCTCAATTCTCCTTTGCCCACTGTTCTTAATGATCAACACCACACATGTCAGAAATAAATGCTGGCCGATAACTAAAGTGCTGTATGAGAAAGGATGAGAAGTATTTCTATGGATTTTGAACTGAGCTAAGAGGAAAGTCCTTACCATGGGTTTTTTGAAAGATCCTTCAGCTGCAAAGCACCATCCCCCAATCCAAAGAGAATGCCTAAGCTCGACCAACAAACTGCATCTACAAAATGACCACTTTAATCATGCACATAACCTTAGAATAAGCCTCTTGCAGTCCCCCATTCACAATAGCAGATCCAGAGCCTGTTAGCCAAGGGTCTCTTCCTGACACACAAAACCTAGCTCTGGCTTCATTTTTCTAACATAGCTCCCCCTCCCCCTTTGCCCCAATTCAGACATTGTTGTACCTGTTTTGGAGCTGCAGCTATTTCTTCTTGCCGAGGCTTACCACATCTGGTCCTCCAAAGAGTATAGCTGGTCTTTCACCCACAAAATCAAGATGAAAAATCAATCCCTCTCCCCCCACCTAAATAAGGTAAGAACAAACAAGAAAACCTCAAAACAACACCAGCCAAAAAGAGAGAGAAAAGCCTTTGAGAGATGAGTCAGCCTAGATGCTTACAATTCCGACGGAAATCAAAGGCCTTGAATAAACCGTTTGTCATTGCCTCCTGCTCAAAGATACAGGGCTAAACTTAAGAGCAATCATATGCTGCAGTTCTGCCAGCAAAACTGACACTGTCTTGCTTACCTTCAACCCTCACAAGGCACTAGAAGAATACACAACAGAAGCAGAGTTAGGAAGGCCAATGTGCCCAGAAAAGCAGCAGTTGGGTAGGGTTGGGAGGGGTGGGTGAGTAAACAGATTTCAATACTATGAGAGAGGCACATAACAGGTTCTTGAGATCTGAATACTTGCCCTCAGGCCTGACATTCTAAGCTGAACACAAAAGGATGTTCCTCACAGGGAATAAAGTGCCAAGAGACCTCTCTTGCTCCAAAGTGTCTTCCCTTTCCCCTGTAACATGGTGCTGGTCTAACGTGACCAGGACATCAAAAAGATACTCAAGAAGAAAGATGAAAGCAAGCCCTCCCTTGCAAAAACCATATCCTTAGACAAATACCTGTAGTGGCCACTGAAGTTGGAGCTAAATAGAACTGAGTTCAAAGCCAAGCTTTATGATTTCTTAGCTGTGTGACCTTAAGAAAGTTAGTTGAATTCTCTGAGCCTCAATATCTTCTTCTATAGCATGGTGAGGTGATGCAGTACCCATTTCAGCAGTTGTATGAGAATTAAATGAATAATGTATGTGTGATATTTAGCACTGGTTTTTAATAAACATGTTGATATTGAAGGTTTTTGCAGAGGGCCTGACTTTACCAGAAAATATCATGTTTCAAAAGTAATCACATAAAATTAGAATTTGTATAAATGCATCCAAGGACTTACTCTGATCTATCTCTACTAAATTTGAATTAAATTAAAGCAGGTAAAGAGATCTTGAAAGATTGTTGGGAATAGATCTTTTTTCTTCAATCTCTGATGGCATCAGGGTCAAGTATAAAAAAAGCATCTTATAAAATTTAGAAAAAATACCTGCATAAATCAATTTTTCAAATACTATTATTCAGATTAGTAAAATGCTTATATGTCTCAAAATTTATCTATTTCAAACCATCCAATTTTACATGTCACTAGAAAAAGAATATTTAATTTCATTTGGATCACTAAAGGGGCTAGGATATAAGCAGATACCAAGAGAGAGAATTTGAACAAAGAGCAGAAGAACATCCAGATCAAGTCTCCAGCAATTCAAAAAGGGGAAACACACATGAGTGGCAGCAAACTGTTCCTCACGTCCTCCTGAAATGCATGGCACAGATGGAGAAACAAATTAATGTCAGAAAGGTCACCTGCTTTGACATTGCCAGGACGGAAATGCTCTCAGCTAGGCATAAATCCACAGCCTTCACAATTTGGAGGACTAATTAACTCCATTGCACCCACTGAATAGTTAGGGATGGTGCAGTGCTCACTAGTAAACTCCTGTGAGAAAAAGAAGAGAGGACTGTATTGATGTCATTGTTTGAATCCTTATAAATTAGTCACTTTATGGCAACATCAGAATTTTTCTCCAAGCCCCTGAGAACTCCTCAGAGTTTGAGATATTGATAGTGAACAGGGCTGGGTACCCAGAAGGCATTGCATCTATGTTATTCAAATGCATACAGGCTGTGACAACAAATAAAGACATTTTCATTAATT